CTGCAAACACCTGTAGGAGGATTATGATTAGTGAAAATTACCTGTAGGACATGAGTTTGTCTTTACTTGTTTGTCAGAGTGTGCAGAATGCGAGAAATAATCAGTAATAAAGAGGTGAGTGATCACGATACCTGCCAAGAGCAGAGAGAAAATCATCAGTTTTCTCTCTGTGTCCATGCTTCTCAGGTTTTCTTGCTGTAATATGCTGCAGAATGTTCAAATTGAAAGGAAAATAATTAAACGGGGGAAAAACCCATTTACATTTTTTTTTGCAGAAGTGAAAGTTCTTAAATAGATCCTAGATAAATGTTGGCTTTATTTTATCTTCCCTCAGCATATAACAGAATAAGTATTCCAACCCATAGCATCTCTACAATAGCCTTCACATCATGATAACAACTCAGTGCACTCTTTATTGGATGACGGAGACTGAGGTGACAGACCAGACGTCAGAAATAAGTCACACAACAGTCACACAGAAAGTCAATGAGGTTGTCGATGCTGCTTGTGAAACGACGCCCCACTTGTCCTGAAGGACTCGGTGGAGTTGGTGGACGTTTTTGGGGACAAGATCGCATCGTCCAGAGCATCATGCGGCAGATTTTGTGTCGTACCAGGCCGTCTTAGACCGTAAAGAGTAGACATTCAGGATACCAACAACCTTTTCTAGTCTTTTTCTTGCCACCTGTGGAATTATGTTATACTGTCATACTGTTTGATCACAGTCCTTTATTAAGGCCACATTGTAGGGTGTGAATGAACCTAATGGTCGAGAATCTGTCACCAGTTTAACAGGTCTCCCTGAAGCCTTTCCTCACCAGAACAATAGAAATTGGATTTTTTAAAACTTTTTTCCCCTCAAAGTCAGAAAAAAACCAACCATTTGCACGTGATGTTTTTAGTTCTGATCCTTCTACCTCTGTCATTGCCTGCAGTCCCCTGTCCCCTGCATTTCTATGCATCATTCACATCCATGAATACCAGAAATGTTTCCCTCCTTCCAACTGCCCCTCAATCTCCAATCACCCCCTTAAACTTCAGTTTAATCTCATCCCAACTTCACACAGAAGCAGATGCTCTGACGGATATCTAGTAACCGTTTACTCCACCAGCATTTCACAAAATTGAAAATCATCAGAGTACAGTAAAAATCAGAATACCCAGAAAGACACTGCACTAGATGAGACAAAGCAAAGTCTGAACCCTTACATATAATCGNCACAACCTATTTGCCTGGTTGTGACAAAGTGGGAGCTCATCCGATTTTGATTGTGGCACTCAGATTGGAGGTTATGGCGCTGCATGCTCTTTGTTTCAGGGGTTTACTCTGTGGTACACGCCAGTGTTCATGTCATGTGAAACTGAGTGGGGAGAAGACACAGTGTTTTGAGTTGATGTAAGTAGGCTGATATTTGTTCTAAGTGTTGTTCATACTTTGTTTCTTTGTTGGTGTTACCTTGAGGTGGAGAAGGAGAGCTTTGTGTGTTTCCGGATGTGGGTGATCTGTGCCGGCATCACACCAGCAGCGGTGAGGAGTGTTTCCCTGACAGGCTGTAGCAGCGTTCCCCTTCGGGTTCGTCTGTGTTTGGGGTAGTGTTGTGGCCAACGTGGCTGGAGCTTTGCTCGGGAGCACATCCGTGGCTTTGGGAGGGTTGCTGGCGTGCCAGTCGCTCTTCCACCCATCGGGCTAAAGTGCATAAAAACCCACTACCAATAGCTGCATGAAGACTAGGAGGGAGCTTAGCTAGCGGGGCCCTATTACTTAGTTAGTGGGAAAGCTCTGAACCTGCTGCAGGTTAGTCCTTGCCCCAGCTGTTTCTTGACTGGTCCAGATCTGGTGTAATTGTTTGTTTTGCTCATTTGTCCTTCGATTGTGTGTTTTGATTATTACGTGAGAATGGCCGATGTGGATGTATTTATTGTCGCTCCGTCGGAAGACGCTTTAAAGAAACTAAAAAAGAACAGCTGCTCAGACTGGCAGAACACTGATGAAGAGAGAAAATTGTTTATTATCTTGCTAGAGACATATCTCAGAGTACTGTGGGTTGGAAATATACCTGATTTTGAGGAGGTTTTCATTGAGAAAGCATTAATGATAAGGTGGGGCTGATTTTTAATTTCTAAATGTACATTCTGTTTTCTTTTATTTTGTCATTTTACATTTTGCCTTTGATTTGCTTGTAGCAGATTCCTTCTGTAACTTTAGTTTTTTTGGGTCTGTTTTCAGTTAATATTTGTGTGACTATTATTTTATTATCGTGTTACCACTAGATTGTAGAATTCTGTTTGAGGTTTGAATGGGATTAAAATATAAATCCTGGATGTCAGCTTGCCAGGTGAACAACTATGTGTGAACAAGCTTCTTTTATAAGTTCTTCTGCCTCTTATGCAGCCTACTCAATGTACCAATGGTCCTTAAAAGTAAATAAAACATACACTGAGTTAGTTTCGAATCAACTGTGAAAGCAAATGACAAACAATGTGGGGTTTCANCCTTACATATAATCGGTTTTCTAATCTATTTTATTCAAGGATAATTTTGAGGCATCAGTCCTACCTGGTTTTGCTACTGTCCGGTTGATTGCAGCTGCTTGTGAGATAGTCTCCTCCTCTCTGACTCTCTTAAAGGCCTTTTTTTTTCCCCCAATCAAAATTTGCTTATCGTGACCACCCACTTTCCTCTAACGCCCTCCACACCCACCCTCAAACATTTATATATATATTTTTTCATACTTTTTATATCCTTCCCTCCAAATAGGCTGTTAGTTAGATGTTATCTGTTACCTGCTGGCCCGTGAAGCCGGCACAACAAAACTTGACACTGGTCTAATGTGGCAGAGTTAGGGTGAGATGACTTAGTACAAAAAGAGGATTTTAAATTACCAAAGTTGTTGATCTGACAACGCCACCTAGGGGAATTTCGCCACAAGGGCTCGAGACGTGATTCTTTCAATTAGAAAAATACATATTTATTTTGTACTTCAAAATATTCTAAAGATAACATATAAAACAGGCCAATAATCAGTGTACTTCTAGAAAAATCACAAAATATAAATTAATCACAAACCGCAAATTAGTCAGAAAATAATTAAACACGTTAATAATCAAACAAATTTGGGCAAAGCAAAACATCGCATGCACATTAATCAGAAAATAAGCAAACAAGGTAATCAAACAGCTCCATCCATCCATTTTCTTCCGCTTATCCGGGGTCGGGTCGCCGGGGCAGTAGGCGGAGCAGGTCGTCCCAGACTTCCCTCCACCCGGTGACACGTTCCAGCTCTGCCTGGGGGATCCCGAGGCGTTCCCAGACCAGCAGAGAGATAGCAGTCAATCAGATTTTATTTGTATAGCACTTCTCACACACTATGGCAACGCAAAGTGCTGTACAGTATTTAAAAACATTACGACATTTAAAAATATTATAAAAGAAAACCCGTCCCTCCCACCCTCACACACATGCACACACACACACCACTGAGCTTAGGGAACCATGGCATGGCACTGAGGATTGTGGGGGAAAAAACGCTAACATTGGGGCCGTCCACACTGGGAGGAGTCGCAGACCATGACCATTGGCACCTGGACCCCCAGACCCTGGCAGACAGGGGGATCCCCACAACGAGGTGGAGAGCCCCCAATCAGCCGGCCGAAGGGACCCACAGACAGAACCCCCAGCAGCAGACCGCACACAGTCCCCAGTGTGGAGGACCCCCCTAAGGAAACAGTGGAGTTAAAAACTAAAAACTACAGAGAATAAAAGGCCTGATGTGAGATAAGATGAAAATTAAAAGAGTAAAATACACAAGATAAAAAAATAAATGAATGATAAGAATGTAAAAAGAGCTTAAAGGTTAATTAAAAGCTTGATTAAAAAGGTGTGTCTTTAACCTTCTTTTGAAAATATCAACAGTCTCTGCAGTCCTGAGGCTCTCCGGCAGGCTGTTCCACAGGTGGGGCACTTCACCTGGTACTGGATCCTGGACCCGGCCTAACAAGAAATCCACCGGAAGCTTAGGCTTCCGTCCAAACATCAGGCAAAATGGAGACTCACCAGTTCCCTGATGAGGTGCAGAGTTATAACAAAAAAGGAACTGCTGTAAGCAGAAGACCCAGTCCTGCTAATGTGAAGCTGGAACAGGACGCAGGAGGTTATGCAGTGTCCGGTTAAACTGCTCACACTGTCCGTTTCCTGCAGGATGGTATGGGGTGGTCCGAGATGTAGCCACTCCATACGAGCAACAGAGTTGATGAATCAAAGAGGTTTTGCAGGAAGCTTGAGTGTCAGTCAATCAGGGTCCAAACAATGAGGAAGGTTTGTTCCTGTTCTCCCTTGTGGATGACAAATCAAGCAAAGACACATTCTCATTGCTGATAAATCAGTTCAGACAACACAAAGTGGTGGGTGTCAGTGAGTTTTATTTTTTGTATTGTGATAGAAACTTTTTTTTTTTCAAAGGCTTATGTGAAGATTGTTTGCAGGAAAATCTCACATCCACATAAGACGGCACATCCTGTTATTACTGACAATAATTAGAAAAAAACAACATTTCATCAGCCTCTGTATAGGTCGCGTCTTTTCTCTGAAACTTCTTTCATGAGGAAGTGAATAAAAGCAGAAAAATAGAATAAAGCCAGTCAGACAAACAGAACGTAACCTCTGTGATTTGNTCAATGTACCAATGGTCCTTAAAAGTAAATAAAACATACACTGAGTTAGTTTCGAATCAACTGTGAAAGCAAATGACAAACAATGTGGGGTTTCACATATTTCAGTAACAGCTCTTCTTCTTGTGATTAAGCCACAGAAAAGGAGAACAGAAAACAAGATATCATTTTATAAATATAAATATAAGCGTAGATGTTATCGAAACCAATTTTCTGGGCTGGAAGATTCGGCTCATTTTAGTGCTGAAAGGGGAACTGCCACCTCCGCTTCAGATGCAGATTTTCTTGATGGACCCCTGTCTATTTGACTGTGTTCATCCTTCAGTTCTGACGAGTGTCTGTTTCCCTGCTGCCCCTCAGCATGATGCTACCGCCACCATGCTTCACTGTAAGAATGCAGGTGATAAGCGATGTCTGGTGTTTGCCACACATACTACTTGCTGTTCTGCCAGAGCAGTTGCCCGCAGAGTCCTTTAAACGGTCGGTGACAAACACCAAGCAAGCTGCAACAAGTCTTTTAATCAAGCTGATGTACCATAAAGGTCAGGTTGATGATGGGTTTTGCTGAGATGGTCGTCAGATTCTTCTCTCTTTGAATGAGAGTTTCTGAAGCAGTAAAATTGTTGGATTGTTGGTCGCTTGTGCAGTTCTCCAGTTTGTCTGAACTGTCAGTTTCTACAATATCACAGGTATTGAGATCACTGTGGTCAGAGAGGAAACTTTAAAAATGGTTTTATACATTTGTTCTGATCTGGTGGTGTACAAAGACTCCATGGCTCAGTTTTTTTTTTTTGTCTTGGCATGTACTAGTCGTTTGATTATGTTATAACAGAGACATTTTGCATTCCTGTACAATACATACAATTGTCATGAACTCACTGACAGAATGGGTGGACACAAATGCTTGACTCAGCAGGTTCAGGCAAAAGACAGGTTTAATGGCAGTCAGGGTTCGGTACACGGGAAATCAGTCCAACAGGCAGAAGTATCCAAGAATCGGTGGGCAGAGGCAAGGTCCAAAAAGCAGAAACAAGGTCGAGATCAAACAGACTTAACTTGAATAACGCTGGTACGAGGACTGTGAAGTGCAACGAACTGGCGACGAGACAGTGAGACACACAGGGTAAAATACACGAGGTAGTGAGGGTAGATGAGGGGAGGTAATCAGGGAGCAGGTGAGACAAGACAGGTACAGGAAGTAAATCTAAAACAGAACACCCAGTGAAGTGATTTCAAAATAAAACAGTAGAGATGAGACATAATGTGCAGACATAAACAGAAACTTGACAACAATCCAGTTAAACAGAGACTTCTATTTTGTGGGGTACGTTTAAAATGCTGGTACCGGCAGCCCCAGTTTCATATTTTTCTTTTTTTTTTTTTTCTGAGGTGTTATTGTTACTGCTGGTCCATCCTGAGTCTAATCATTTAACGGAGTTGACTCTGCACTAAATGATTTTGTTTCTCATCGGGAGTTTGCTTTGTAAAAAAATGTCCTGATTGTAAGTTTCTTGTTGTTTAAAGCTCTTCTGTGTTATATAGCGCTCACCTTTGTGCATTTTGTGGGGAAAAAATGCTGCAAATAAAGAAACAAGCTGCACATTTTGTGTGTTTTCTGTATTTACAAATTGTAGTTTGTTTCTTTTTTTCATTCTTAAATGCTGAATCTGTGTAGTCAACTCGGTAGATGCTTTTTTATTATTTTTTAAATTATTTGCTTGTGTCAGCGCACATTCATTGGAAAAATGCCAATTTTATCAAACAGTGTATATAAAGTAAAGGAAACTGAATACTTCCTCAAATGATTGCAAGTGAAAGCTCGCTGTGGCTGTCTCGTCTGATTTTGTCTGCAGTTTTATCAGTTGCCCCCAGAGGTCACATATTTGAAATCAGCACCCAAAATGATTATACTTTCATGCAAACATGGAAGACGTCTAGGACAGAGACCACTCCCTGCCGTTTGCTTCATTAACTGCACTGCTGCTGCCGTCACATCTGCTGTCAGTTTTTCCACTTAGAGAAACAAAAATGCGTCTTCTTTTCTAGTCTGGCCCTGCTATTTATTTTCAAGCTGTCTCTGGAGTTCACATACTTGTCCACCACATGTCAGCAGTCTTGAGGAGGTGTTTTTTTTGCAGACACACATCAGCAAGACAGCAGCTTTGACAGGTAGGATTCTGGACTTTATGCTTCAATATGTTGACGCCGGCACCTGCAATAAATGGCGATTCAGTACATTTTCTTTAAATGCTTGATTTTGAAAGTTTGTGAAAGTTGAGCTTGTGAAAAAATGCAGCTTAGTATTTCTTTGGTTTTATTATAGGCTTGATTATAGAATGCTATTTATCATTGTTGTTGGTCTGAATGATTAGATTTATTTCCTGGGTACGCCTTAAAAAGGTTTGTTAGAATAAACTGAAAAAGGTGCATATATATAACAGCCAAAACCAAATTCCTTGTATGTTGTGTACGTACTTGGCCATTAAGGCTGATTCTGATTCTGATTCTGATATATATAATCCAACAAATCTGAGTAGAAGCCTGTGCAGTATCGCTGAGATTCCAAACTCTATCATGTTACAGCAACTGTATTATTTCTACGTTGAAGTGTAGGGTATTTAACCTTGTGCATGAGTAAAACAAACCGGTTAAGTAGCCATATATGGAAGATACAGGCCCGAAAGTACACCTGTGACCAAATAAGACTAACTGCATAATTAAAGTTAGAAAGGTCTTTTGCAATGTGGCTCGATGTGAGAAGGAACTAATAAGTGAGTACAAGAGCATCAGCCTGCGACAAAACATAAGTCAAACCCAGTTCTAGCAGAAGTTATAGTGGCCATCATCCAAAAAGAAGAGCTGTTTACACAATTTGGCATAAGAAAATAGACTATAGGTGTTACTAACTTGGTGTTATGTTGGAACGCTGGTGTTTCAGTGCGAAGGATATAGTGTGATGTCAACACCTAGTCCTAGAAGTAAACTTTTGCTTATCTAAAGAAACAGCCTGATCAATATTGGCAGCACATTCTTTGGTCAGAAATAACCAAAATAAAAGTAAAAGTCTGGATTAGCTGGGGCCCAGCAGGCTTAACAAACGCTGTGTGAGCTGCCTCGGTGGTCTGCCTCGGTGACTGCGTAGTGCCGACTGTGAAACAAGGAAGTGGATGTGTGCTGATAGAAAGCTACTGAAGGGAATTAGGACTTCCAGTGCCAAGAACTGTGGCAAGAAATGACTTTTCTAACACGATTATGGTTCCAAACACACTGGTATGATTTATTTAAAGGGAAAAAAGGTGAAAACTATGGTTTGGCCAAGTATCTCCACTGGCTTAAGTACAAAAAAGTGAAAGGCAATCATGCTCAAAAGCTTATTCTGTGAACAAAATGTCTTAAAATTTGTGCAAAGCTGATTTTCAATGTCCTCAAAAACAACAGTGTAAATTCTCAATATTAACAGTTAGACCTGTCTTTGTTGTATTTAGGTTGAGGCCTGTGTTTTCAGTCTGTTTGTTTTTAATTATACATGTGATCAAACGCTCTGCACTTACATACAGTTACACTTTATTTTAGTGATATTCCACAGAGACGTCTCAGAGCTTTATAGTAAATATGTGAAGGCAGCTATTTAAAAAATAAATAAATAAATAAATAAATAACAGACATTGTGGAAAAAAGGGAAACAAGTTAATACAGAGCTAATGTGACTTGTGTTGTTGAAAATGTTTATGTTTTGTATTATCTAGTGAAGTCAAGTCCCAGTAATTCATATATCACTTTGAAAACAACAGCAATTAAGCTTANGCAGCAGCGGCCACTGGAACGATGATGTGATTGTAGTTTTCTGAACCTGCAAACAGACAAAATTCATATCAGAGACATTAAACAAATGTGAAAAAATAAAATAAAATCCAGTAAATGACCTACTTAGTGCAACGTTCTCATGTTTTACATAGAGAGAAACACTTCTGGAGGACGTTATCTGTCCAAAAAACTCAGCCTTGCAGGTGATCTCAGTGTTGTTATCCTTCAACTTAGGAACAAATGCTAAGATAGACTTGATTTCCCAGTTGCCAGATCGAATGTCCTTATGTTCCTCTCTGACTTGTCCATGTTTCCCAGTCCATGAGAGTTTAGGGGCACGGGAGGGGCACGTATGGGCGACTGAGCAGGTGACAGTGAAGGGCTGCCCCTCAATGGCTGTGTCTGGATCAGGCAGTGTAAGAGTTGGAGGTATAACTGTAAATGAAAAGATAAAGTAAATTGATACAACAGAAAACTGGAATAAATTTATTAAATCTTGGACAGCTGGAGACATACGTAGCATGTTCAGCGCGACACAGTCCTCAACGAAGGAGAACTTTTCTGTGGTGGGGTTGTTATCCTCCGTTTCCACGGGTTCGATCCGGAAACAGAAAGGCCCGTTGTCATGGTTTCTGACATCAGTTATTTCTAAGGTGCAGTTGTTGTGACCCAGCTCTCCCAACAGCCGCGTCCGGCCCTTGTAGTCGTCCAAGATCTTTGACTGATCCTCGTGATAGATGTTTTCATCTTGCTTATCTTTAAGGTGCCAGATGCCCCTGAGTCTGGACGTGGGCAGGTTTCCTCCAGGATGAGTGAACGAACAGGGAACCACAACACAGGTTGAAATCAGGGCATCAAGGTCTTTTACCACACTGGCCTTCCATTCTCCACAGAACACAGGGCTGCAAACACCTGTAGGAGGATTATGATTAGTGAAAATTATCTGTAGGACATGAGTTTGTCTTTACTTGTTTGTCAGAGTGTGCAGAATGCGAGAAATAATCAGTAATAAAGAGGTGAGTGATCACGATACCTGCCAAGAGCAGAGAGAGAATCATCAGTTTTCTCTCTGTGTCCATGCTTCTCAGGTTTTCTTGCTGTAATATGCTGCAGAATGTTCAAATTGAAAGGAAAAGAATTAAACAGGGGAAAAACCCATTTACATTTTCTTTTTGCAGAAGTGAAAGTTCTTAAATAGATCCTAGATAAATGTTGACTTTATTTTATGTTCACTCAGCATATAACAGAATAAGTATTCCAACCCATAGCATCTCTACAAAAGCCTTCACATCATGATAACAACTCAGTGCGCTCTTTATTGGATGACGGAGACTGAGGTGACAGACCAGACGTCAGAAATAAGTCACACAACAGTCACACAGCAAGTCAATGAGGTTGTCGATGCTGCTTGTGAAACTATGTCCCACTTGTTCTGTGCTGTCCTCACAACACGTGATTGTGTGCTGCTCGACAGCCAGCGAACTCTTGAAGAAAACTCTGGACACAAGGCTTTCTTCTCTTGTATTTATGGAGGTTTCTTGTAGTCAAACGTGACAATAAGTAACTGTAAAATACAGAATTAAAGCCACAAGCGGCGATGGACAGGTCCTCGCCATACGCTTGTCGGCCTTCGCGCACATTGGGGTTTGGCGCAAACGTCCTCCGGGCAGGAGTCCGATCCGGCATGTCGAGTTTGGGGTAGATTGGAGCATGTGCAGCCTAGTTACGAGCCACTCCCTGTTTATTGGCAAGCCGAGGCGGCGTGCATGTTGGCCGAGCCGGAACCATGCTCTGGCTGAGACTTGGAGCACATGTGTAAAGTTTCAGGCTGATCGGAGCACATACAGGCCAGGTACACAGTACGTCTCATATTGTGGGGTTTTATGGCCAAATTCTGGGGGTCACCATTTCCACGCCATCAGACTTTTGCTGACCATTTTACTCATTTTTAATCACCAACACATGTAGTTCGAGCTGGCCAAATTTCAGGTGTGAACGACCTTCCCTGTAGGAGGAGATAGATTTTGAAAATGGCCAAAAACATCAGAAACTCAGCCAAAATCGGCAAAATTGTGACCACGTTTTTTCAAAATAGCGGACTTCCTGTTGGGTTTAGGCCATTTTCAATATCTCCTACTACTGGGAAGGTCGTACACAACTGAAATTTGGCCACCACAAACTACAGGAGGTGGTGATTAAAAATTAGTAAAATGGTCAGCAAAAGTCTGATGGCGTGGAAATGGCGGCCCATCCAATTTCGATCAATGGCCATTTTGTCCATTTCCGTTGTGTTTCTGGCATTCACCGGAGTCCTGTCGGAAGGCCGTTTTACCTGCAGCTACAAGATTCAGTGGGCATGTGTAGCAGGTCAGGACGCACAAAAAAGTCAATCAGCGCCAAGCCCTAAACCCAACAGGAAGTCCACCACTTTGAAAAAACCGGAGTGACACTTTTGGCCACTTTGCCTGACTTTTTCCGCCATTTTTAAAATCTATCTCCTCCTATAGGGAAGGCCGTACACACCTGAAAGTAAACAGGAAGTGGCTGGTAACTAGGCCACACGTGCTCCGATCTGCCTGGACGCGCCGGATAACAGTCCCGCCCGGAGCTCGTTTGCGCCACACCCCGACGTGCGCAAAGGCGCAGCGTGGACCCGTTGTGGCTTTAATAGAGCTCGGCCCTGTTGGACTTTTTTTCAGCTCTACATGTCTATGAAACTGCGTAGTTGTAGGTCAAACCGTGCTTCCGCTGAAATTTTCAAGGTGGCACTATGGAGCCATTTTTCTATTGAGGTGTGTGTTTCCACCAAATTATACATTTTTGCGCCGAGTCTGATGTGTGTGCCAAGTTTCGTGTAGTTTGGAGTACGTTTAGGGCCTCAGAAACACGTCTCTTTGTCATGTAGAAATAATAATAATAATAATAATAATAAACCCTAGCAATTCCAATAGCGTCTTCGCCCCTTTCGGGTGCTCGGGTTTCAATAAAAAACGCAGCTACCATCTATGTCGTACATGTGGTATGCTAAACACAAACAGCTAACACACATCACAAACTGCTAATGGAGACATCATCGAGTTTGCAAACTTATGCAAAGTGACAGTTCAAGACATTTGTGGCCTTTATATAAAAGGACTTTGTACACATAATGCTCACAAAGATGAAAACTTCCCAAGACTCACACGTTTCAGAACCAGCACAGCGGATTTAGGAGGTTTTCCGGACTTGGTTTCTGGCGCACTGCTGCCTTGTTTTTCACCCAAAGGAAAAACGTCAAAGATTGTTTATGGACGAGATGAGCACTCCCTCTACTGTAACCAAAACGATCCTTTATGAAGATGTCTCACTCTGATTACTTTTTAACCATGGCTTTATCACAGTTTTTTCCATGAGATTAACTTGTTTATTTTTTACACTGTGAGCTTATTTTTAGCCTTTTCACTAACTTATCAGTCTTGTGAAATTATTATTATCTTTGACCCAAAGACATGACATGTTCTGAAGGACTCGGTGGAGTTGGTGGAGATTTTTGATCGCATTGTCAGACACATCGCATCCAGAGCATCATGTGGCACATTGTCGTACCAGGCCGTCTTAGTGGACATTCAGCATACCATACAGCATTTTACGGAGGCCTTCCATAGCCACTGGTCTGTCATACTGTCCTTTATTAAGGCCACATTGTAGGGTGTGAATGAACCTAATGGTCGAGAATCTGTCACCAGTTTAACAGGTCTTCCTGAAGCCTTTCCTCAACAATAGAAATGGGATTTTTTTCCCTCAAAGTCAGACAAAAAAACCACCATTTGCACATGGTTTTTTAGTTCTGATCCTTCTACCTCTGTCATTGCCTACAGTCCCCTGTCCCCTGCATTTCTATGCATCATTCACATCTATGAATACCAGAAATGTTTCCCTCCTTCCAACTGTCCTTCAATCTCCAATCACCCCCTTAAACTTCAATTTAATCTCAGGCATCCCAACTTCAAACAGAAGCAGATGCTCTGTGTGACGGCCCCACCTCGTCTGTTGGTTGGGCACGTTGACTGTCTGTGTTTGACTCTGGTTCCTCAGGTCCCTGGACTGCTGGAGACTGAGTGGGCGGTCCTACCTGCTTGGCACGCTTGGGCCCAGCGCTCCCAGGCTATAGAAGGGCCAACCCCTCAGCTCCAGCTCTCTCTCCTCATGCCAGTGACTTGTGGTTTGTGTCATTTTGGTTTGGTTCTTACGTCAGACAACACCTTGCACCACATCGCATCCAGGCATCCAGACAACCGCACCTACACTACTGACATCACTGACGTACACATCTCACTTTGAAAGAATTCATTTAACCAGTTAATAAAAGCTTACGTTAAAATCTGGCAATACCTGTGTCGTCTCCCCTCTTTTGNAAAATGGAGACTCACCAGTTCCCTGATGAGGTGCAGAGTTATAACAAAAAAGGAACTGCTGTAAGCAGAAGACCCAGTCCTGCTAATGTGAAGCTGGAACAGGACGCAGGAGGTTATGCAGTGTCCGGTTAAACTGCTCACACTGTCCGTTTCCTGCAGGATGGTATGGGGTGGTCCGAGATGTAGCCACTCCATACGAGCAACAGAGTTGATGAATCAAAGAGGTTTTGCAGGAAGCTTGAGTGTCAGTCAATCAGGGTCCAAACAATGAGGAAGGTTTGTTCCTGTTCTCCCTTGTGGATGACAAATCAAGCAAAGACACATTCTCATTGCTGATAAATCAGTTCAGACAACACAAAGTGGTGGGTGTCAGTGAGTTTTATTTTTTGTATTGTGATAGAAACTTTTTTTTTTTCAAAGGCTTATGTGAAGATTGTTTGCAGGAAAATCTCACATCCACATAAGACGGCACATCCTGTTATTACTGACAATAATTAGAAAAAAACAACATTTCATCAGCCTCTGTATAGGTCGCGTCTTTTCTCTGAAACTTCTTTCATGAGGAAGTGAATAAAAGCAGAAAAATAGAATAAAGCCAGTCAGACAAACAGAACGTAACCTCTGTGATTTGCCTGTTTCTATTAAATTCACCTGAATTCTTATTGAACATGTCTGCCTTTGGCGTTCTTCTCCTCGACTTCCTTTGATTGTCTGAAAAGTAAAAAAACAAAGATTTGAAGCAGTTAGATATTTTAAAGCTACACTGATGAATAATACAGTTTTCCCCTCTCTGTGCAGCTCTGCAGGGATTTCAGACTCTTTGGAACCAAAAATATTTGTAAGTATTTGCACTGGTTGCCTGTTAACTTGATTGTAAAATTCGATTATTAGGTTATAAGGTACGACAAGGCCTTGCATGAGACTGGACTACGTCTCAGAAATGCTATTACTGGAAGGACGCGCACATCCTTGGTTGTTCCTTTTTAGCTGTTCCACAAAGCAGAACAAAAACATTTGAAACTTTACACTCGGTGCTGCAAAAAACAGCCTGTTGGACGACGTGAGAGACGCCTAATGTATTTATATTTTTAAATCAAAACCTCATTTATTCAGTCTGGCTTTTACGTAGTGTTTTCTAATTTTACACTATAGAAAAATCTGTAATTTACGAAGTTGTTCCATCTTATTTACTGATACATCTTTTTTTAAAACACATGAAAAAAGAAATCAAAAAACCTTACAAAATGTATTGCATTTGGATACCTTAATGCAACATTAAAAACCTGTAACTCTGAATAAATATGATGATACTTCAATTTAAATAAATAAAAATTCTATCTATCTATCTATCTATCTGACTAAGTGTTTAAATATAAAATGGTTATTTTAACATTGAATTAAAGGTGATTTTGTGTAGCCGTAGAATTAAAGCTGCACAGTTAAAGATGAGAGAAGAGGTGAAAATGTCAAGAGAGCAAGAAAGGTTATTGTCCTCAGAAACAGGTCACGTCCGAAGATGTCTAGAGAAGTTCCGTTTTATAAGTTTTGTTTTGAATCAATTGGTTTCAATTGGAACTCATTGCTAAAACAGTTCATGGTTCCTCTTTTTCCCGGCATGTATCCTGTGATTGCCGGCCTGTGCTCTTTGCTGTTACCAGATCCTAAAGGCATCAAATATATGGGCTAAAGGTGAAGCACCTATTACAAATGTGTATGTATTATCAAGTGTATAGAATAGAATAGAATAGAATAGAATAGAATAGAATGCTGTTTATTGTCATCATACACAAGGTACAACGAAATTAAAAGACAACTCCAGTGGTGCAGAAGTATAAAAAGTAAAAGAATAAAAAGACAAATATGACTATATACATGTATTTACAGAAGGAGCCAGTAGGAAGTATGTAGAGTTCGCCAAACGGTAGAATAAATATATTGCACTGTTGGGGTAGGAACACTGTGGATGTATGAGAAATATAAATAATTATTAGAAGTAATACATATATACAAAATACAGCATCGTGTATAATAAAACGTAATTATGATATAATTATATAGTATAGTACAAATAATAAATATATGTGATAAATAGTACAGACTATAGGCTAATGTGAGTTCAGTACCCATATTGCACTTGGGTAGATATGGTTGTTGCATTTATACTGATTTAATTGTGTGTGTTTTGTTTTTTCATGTCTTCATTTATCTTTTGACTGAAAGCTACAGACGACTTCTCCTTAAAAAATGAACAATTACAGACACGTTCCCTGTGACTGAAGATGCATTTGTTTGTTGTGTTTGAACAGAATGAAGAAAAGATGACTCCTGATAATACTGTGTGAAAAAAGGCTCACATGTTGTTATCTAGTAAGTATGTCCAGACAAAGCTACCAGGGCTGTAAATGATTTCAAAATGACTATCGGACTTTGCTACTGTGAGTGAATGTGCTTTTTCTGAAGTTATTCTGGCTTTTTGTGGCCAAACATGCAATAATGATGCTTCTTCTTATTATTATTACTATTATAACACTACATTGAGGTTATCTAACTGTGAAAGCAACAGAACAAGAAGTGTTGAACAGCCTCACATATTAATCCTTTTTTTTCCCACTTCTCACCTTCAGCTTCTGCCCCTGCGAGACACTTAGAAGAGCCGGCTCCACCCGCTGCATGTGACGAATGAATAAGAAAGTTCATGAATCAGAAGTGAAAAGAAAAGTAGCACTACAAACTGAATCTCACATAATATCTCTTTACTCACCTGCCTTCTCGATATTGCAGCTCTCTAATCTGACTCCTGAAACAGAGAGAAGAAAAAAGAACAGAGCATGGAAATACGATCCCTCTTTGTTAATGTTAACTGAGATTTGTGTTGTTTGTTCAAATGATTCAGTGCCTCACTTGTATTTTTTTGCCACTAAAACGCAGAGGAGTCCAAAGATCAGAGCAGCAGCAGCGGCCACTGGAACGATGATGTGATTGTAGTTTTCTGAACCTGCAAACAGACAAAATTCATATCAGAGACATTAAACAAATGTGAAAAAATAAAATAAAATCCAGTAAATGACCTACTTAGTGCAACGTTCTCATGTTTTACATAGAGAGAAACACTTCTGGAGGACGTTATCTGTCCAAAAAACTCAGCCTTGCAGGTGATCTCAGTGTTGTTATCCTTCAACTTAGGAACAAATGCTAAGATAGACTTGATTTCCCAGTTGCCAGATCGAATGTCCTTATGTTCCTCTCTGACTTGTCCATGTTTCCCAGTCCATGAGAGTTTAGGGGCACGTGAGGGGCACGTATGGGCGACTGAGCAGGTGACAGTGAAGGGCTGCCCCTCAATGGCTGTGTCTGGATCAGGCAGTGTAAGAGTTGGAGGTATAACTGTAAATGAAAAGATAAAGCAAATTGATACAACAGAAAACTGGAATAAATTTATTAAATCTTGGACAGCTGGAGACATACGTTCCATGTTCAACGCGACACAGTCCTCAACGAAGGAGAACTTTTCTGTGGTGGGGTTGTTATCCTCCGTTTCCACGGGTTCGATCCGGAAACAGAAAGGCCCGTCGTCATCGTATGCGAGGTCAGTTATTTCTAAGGTGCAGTTACTCTGACCCAGCTCTCCCAACAGCCGCGTCCGGCCCTTGTAGTTGTCCAAGATCTTTGATTGATCCTCGTGATAGATGTTTTCATCTTGCTTATCTTTAAGGTGCCAGATGCCCCTGAGTCTGGACGTGGGCAGGTTTCCTCCAGGATGAGTGAACGAACAGGGAACCACAACACAGGTTGAAATCAGGGCATCAAGGTCTTTTACCACACTGGCCTTCCATTCTCCACAGAACACAGGGCTGCAAACACCTGTAGGAGGATTCTGATTAGTGAAAATTACCTGTAGGACATGAGTTTGTCTTTACTTGTTTGTCAGAGTGTGCAGAATGCGAGAAATAATCAGTGATAAAGAGGTGAGTGATCACGATACCTGCCAAGAGCAGAGAGAAAATCATCAGTTTTCTCTCTGTGTCCATGCTTCTCAGGTGTTCTTGCTGTAATATGCTGCAGAATGTTCAAATTGAAAGGAAAAGAATTAAACGGGGGAAAAACCCATTTACATTTTCTTTTTNTTAGAGTAAATAAAATTATATAAAATACAAAATTATCTCACACATTTTATTATCAGGAATTAGACCCTACAGTTTTATATAAAATACAAATTTACCTAAAAAATGTAAACATTTAGGTTAAGACCCAATAATATTAATATTAATATTAAGACCCTACAATAGGAGAGAAATATTTTTTCTCTAGTATTCTACTCTTTACTGAGCCACTAGCTGTTAGCGTAGCCTTAGCTACTGTGAAAGTAGCTCATTTCTTGGTTTGTCTTTCTTGTTTAGTTGTTGCAGTCTCTGCTTGAGAGACATTTCTGAGACGACAGAGTGACGACAGACAGAGAGAGGAGGCTGCATCAGACCTGCAGTAGCGCATTTAATTTATCAATAAAATTGCCAATACAATATTCCAATAAAAATACAGATAACAATTATGGGAAAATTCGGCCACAACAATCAGCCAGACTGATAGTCGATCTTGATGCATCCTCAGTCATGTGAGCGGAGCAACAACACATCGGTGCATTTCATCTGTACTTGGCTGGACGAGTACTTTGAATTGAATCAGTACTTGGGCTGCAACTGATGACGTTTACAAGAACACAGCTACAAGTGTTGTAATTTAGTTTTGTGTCTCGTTTAATTTCATGTAAAGATCCTAAAGTTTGTTGTGCCAACAACTCATCAGAGAAGAATGGACAAGGAGAGAAAAATGATGATGTTCTGTCTGCTTTTGGCAGGTAAATTCTTGGTCATCTCTTTATTACCACTCTATTTAAACACAGCACACCAGTTCTTTGTTCCATTGTCACTTTCATAATCCTCCTACAGGTGTTTGCAGCCCTGTGTTCTGTGGAGAATGGAAGGCCAGTGTGGTAAAAGAACTTGATGCCCTGGTTTCATCCTGTGTCGTGATTCCCTGTTCGTTCACTCATCCTGGAGGAAACCTGCCCACATCCAGACTCAGGGGCATCTGGCACCGTAAAGATAAGCGAGATAAAATCATCTATCACGAGGAAAAGTCAAAAGCCTTGGACAACTTCAAGGTCCGGACGCGGCTGTTGGGAGAGCTGGGTCACAACAACTGCACCTTAGAAATAACTAAAATCAAAAATCACGACAACGGGCCTTTCTGTTTCCGGATCGAACTCGTGGTATCGGAGGACAACAACCCCACCAAAGAAAAGTTCTCCTACGTTGACGAGTGTGTCACGCTGAACATGCTACGTATGTCTCCAGCTGTCCAAGATTTCATACATTTATTACAGTCTCCACTTGCATTAATTTACTTTATCTTTCTTCATTTACAGCTAAACCTCCAACTCCTGAACTGAATCCAAAAACAGCCATTGAGGGGCAGCCCTACACTGTCACCTGCTCAGTCTTCCACACCTGCCCCTCCCATGTCCCTAAACTCTCATGGACTGGGAGAACTGGACAAGTCAGCGAGGAACATAAGGACATTCGCTCTGGCAACTGGGAGATCCAGTCTATCTTCACGTTTGTTCCCGAGGAGAAGGATGACCACAGCCAGATCACCTGCACGGCTGAGTTTTTCGGACAGATAACGTCCTCCAAAACTTTCACGCTCTATGTAAAACGTGAGAACTTTGCACTTTGTGATTGAATGTTGAAGACGGCTGTGTACTGTAGTCGAGATCCCTTTCCCATTTGTAAGTAAAAAAAAATAGACTGATACGAATTCTGTTTATTTGCAGGTACACAAAACTACAATCACATCATCATTCCCAGTGCCGTGGCCGCCGGTACAGCTCTGATCTTCGGACTCCTCTGCATTTTCATGGCAAAAAAATACAAGTGAGCCGAATTGTACACCGACTTTAACTGACAGACAACAACAGATAAATAAAAACACAGTATTTTCTTGCACACTTTTGCATTAAGCAGGCCTTAATAAAGATGTGCTCTTTCCTCAAGGAAACGCATTGCAGAGCTCCAGAATCAGGACGGCAGGTAAAAAGACAACGTGAAGCAGATTTACTGTATTTAATAGTACCAGTGCCACATAACGTCAAATCTTCTCTTTTGTTATCATGATGGAAATTTCTCTAGCGTGTGGAACCGTCTGTCCAGGATGTCTCGCAGGTAAGAAAGAACAGTGGTTGTTGATAGTTTTATCTCATAAAGTTTGTACTGCTGTTCTCTAGCTTTTTTTTTTTTAAACAACTAAACTGACGTGCAATTCACAGGCTTCGTCCTGATCGCCCAGGACCATCTCATTCTGATCACAGGCAAGAGACATTTCAAAGATCTTTATGTCTCCTAAACCCACATGTCGTGTTAGTGACTGGTTCTGTACTGTCCTTTCTGCAGCTTTGTACAGAACAGTGCATGGGTGTAACTGTAATTTGCATTTCTGTGCAGAAGTGTAAATCCTCTTTCTTGTACGTGATAAGAATCTACGCTTTTATTAAGGCGCCTTTAAACATTTACATAGTTTCTGTTCTTCTTTTTTTTGTGTGCAGGCGCTCTATTTGGAGCAGATTTTCTAGGTAAGGCATGACAAACATCTATGGTAGATTCCAGCTTCTGCTATTTTACTGGCTGTTTCATCAATTTCCACAGTTCACATTCGCTTTGGTTTTCACACTTTTATCAGCCTACACATGTTACAACATGTATTTTAATTTTCAACAGGAGGCCTAAAGGGGAGACGGTGGATTTTGGTCATACGTGAGTGTGTTAAATGTCGGTTAAGCAGTTAATTGTTGGTTTTATAAACTGTGTGTGGTGACATACATTTTAATCCACAGTCCCAATAACGCCACATCCTGTGCTGACCAGAAAGTCTCCAAACCTCGTTTCCCATCGCCTAAAAGGTACTTGGTTTACCTTGCCTGAACTGCACCAGTTGATAAAAACAACAACAACATATAATTATAGTCTCATGCTATTTTTTGTCTCTGTCTTTTTGCTTGTTGAACCGTAGCCAGCCGAAATCCTACAACTACAAAGAGGTATTTTTAAATCTGTCGACATTTACGCCTTCGAATTACATTCACGACACCTGTGATAATAATGACCTTTATCTCTCACAGGACCTTGATGACGGCGATGATTATGTAAATACTGCAGACCTCAACGTCTATGGAAACATCTGAAAATACAAACTTTCCGAGAGAGAGAGGACGCGATCAAAGCAAAGAGCAAATGTATTTCTGCTTTTACTGATTCATAATGGTTGTGTTAGTGTTTTGCATGTGCAGTGCTAATCCCCCTCCATCAAGCAAAATCTATTTAATAACTCAGTGTGCTTCGGGGAACTTTTGCTTCCATAATTCTATTCGCATGAAAATAACAAAGTGTTTGAAGGATTAAATGAACATGGAACAGAGTTTCACACTTTTTCTATGGAGTTGATTTGTTTTTTTTTTAGGGTGGGTCGGGCCTGATTACAGCCATGTTGGTAGCTTCATACTGTTTAATTTATCTGTAATTTAGTATTGCTCAGATTTAATATGATCTTTTTTTTAACAGCTTTATAACGATGAGTGAGTGTTCTCAGCTGCAAATGTGCCAAATTTGATTGCATCAGAAATAAAGCACAACAACTGCTGCTGCATCCATTTGAGTCTTTTCATTGACTGTCGCACTCTGTAAACTTTCAACAAAAGAATGGCGCTGCTTGCATCCTGATATCAGCTGCGCCCTTTTACAGAGACCTCCAGTGTAGCAGCGGTTACTGCAGAGTGTAAAGAAGTGACGGAAACAAAGTGGACTCAGCTGAGACCAGAGGCCATCGTGTTGGATGATCAGATTTGACCACACGAAGGAAAAAACACCAGCGTATTTTAATTTATAAATGTATTTTAGGCTTGCTTCCTCGTTATTTACAGGTTTCTATTTGTACAAAAGCTGGAAGTGGTTACAGTCTGCGGTCCCAGGATCCATTGCTACTGTCTGTTTCCAAGGATAGAACTGAATGAGGAATGAAAGCTTTTAAATTCGCTGCTTAAAAGATTTTAAACTGCAAGAGCTGGTCTCTTTAAACACTTTTAAAGTGTTTATAAATGACTTGGAGGTAAAAGCATCAGTCTGTAGATGTTTTGAAAGATAGTTATTCTTGCTAGTCATGTTTCTGTTTTCTGCTGATATGTTCGTTTCTTATCTTCTAAATTTAATCTCACCGTGTGTTATGAGTAATGATGTCTGTGTGGATGCTGCTGTCACCTTGTCTGTCTGTCATTTGTGCTGCTGCCTGTCTTGGCCAGAACACTCTTGAAAAAGAGATTTTTAATCTCAATGAGCCTTCTCCTGGTTAAATAAAGGTTAAAGAAATATAAATATAAGAAATGTAGGGCAGCAACAGTCTAAATCAAAATGTAATAAAAATCCTCCAACCAGCCCTTCACTACTAAGACAACTAATAAAGCAGCCCTGTCTTCCAGAAATCATGTTTCTATGCAGCAAAACTGGACTCTCAATTGCTTCTTTTGTGGGGAATGTTTTTAACATATTGCAAAAAGGTTGTATTTTAACCTACAGTGTGATAATTTCCTGAACCAAACAATGAATGAAAGTATGAAAATTGGAACATACGAAACATGAAACCTCCTGTATGAAAGTGACTGAGGCCAATCTGCAAGAGTCCACACACATGCATGGACGTCCAAGTGCAACCCAAAATTAGTGTGCATGGAGTCCAGCTCCAAATTAAAAGGCAGCATGTGGGATACTAAGATAGAAACTACTGCACAAGTTCAGACCAGAATCATATTTTATGCTGCTAAAAAAGTAAATACAAAGCCTTATACTCCCTTGCAAAGGCACACAGACACCTGCAGACAGCACAGTTGTTGTTACTTTACTACTTTTCCAGTTGAAGGAGGTCATATCAGTGAATTCTGCACATGCACACTACGACTGAGCATCCCCTTAGAGTGTAGTCGTATGCAGACACATGTTTTGGTCTGGGTGGTCATTTGCAGGCTTGAAAAGATGACAAAATTCTCATCATGCAGACCCTCGCATGCTAAAAAATACAACACTGCCCTAAAAACGACAGCTAGTCGTCCATGGTGTCCACAGCTGTCTGTGTGCACACTTACAAAGAAGTATTTTTGAGGTTTTAGAAACCCTGCCTCTTTCCGTGGACTTTGTAGCACTTTCAAACAAAAAGACTTTTGTAATATAAGATAGTATATCCCTTTAGTGAAATGTGTTTCTTTCAAAAAGTATATGAAAGTGCCATTTAGTTGTATGAAGGTGTAATTTTTGCATCAGAAAGCAGAAGAAACTGGCTGTTTCCCTCCATTTTCAAGTCTTTATGCTGAGCTAAGTGAACCACCTGCAACCTCTGTTCACATTTTTGCTCAACGGGCATCATGACATAGACCCTTTCATCTTAGTCAAGTCATATACAGTGCAGCTGAGTATAATATTTCATGCCTGTTGGCAGAGTTGAGGAAACACTGATCTGAAACACAGTTGTTGTTCACCTCAAGAGAAGCTTTTAAAAGCTGGAAAGCCATCTGAATTAAAAACCAACAGGAAGACACAATTTAAATTATTTAAATACTATTTCAAGCAACAATCAATTAGCTCGTCTTTACATATTACTCACTGAAAAAGTCATTAGATGATGCTACATTTGCATGTACATAATTTCTGACAGCCTACTGGACTGACAGGGCACCACTGGAATCTTTAGCCCAATTGTTTAATTTTAAAGAGTAATTTTGTACACTCCTTCACTAGTAGGTATTTCCCCAACTCAGATAATTTGTTTCTCTCCTCAATACACTGATGGTTGGTGCTCTTTCCCGGTAAGCTGCATCTTGACTCTCTGTATGGGTAGCAAATAAGACTCTCCACCCACATTTTAGGGGAAGTGGTTTTGTCTTTTTTTTTTAAAAGAGGGTTTAATGTGCTGCTTGTTAAAGTGGGTAAAACTCTCCACAAATATTCAACTCTTCAGGTAAGTCAGTCTAATCTTTTACAATATTAGCATGTATAAAACAACTTTTTTTTTTTTTTTTGAAGTGACAAATGTGAATATTTGTTGTTACCGACTTCAAATTCTGGAAAAAAAAAGTTTAGTCATTGCTGTAATGTCGGTTATGCTACACTTTACATTTATGTTGCATCTTTCTCTTTGTTCTGCAAGTATTTAAGTGGGGAGAAGAAAAAAAAATCCAAATAATGTAACACACTAATATTACTCTCAGCTAAGATCATCGTTGCATTATCCACCAACTAGCCAAAAGGTTTTTGGTATCAGGACTGATTTTGTTAAATGCAATCTCCTTTGTTCTACCTTTTAACAACAAATTTCCACTGTGCCTGCATTTGGAACACTCAGAGTGGAGTTTAAGCTGTTTAGCTGCTTCGAAAAGCAGATTTTTAAATTTATTTGTAATTTTTAAAAGACTCTGTAAACATGTCATATGTTATCATACATCTTTTCCTGTAATTTTTAACTTAAGTGTCCTTTCGTTTTTCTTTTTTGCTCTGTCTTCCTCCTGTTTTTTTTCTTCTCTTTTTTTTAAAACATGTTCCGCTTGAATAGTAAATTCTTTGACAAAAAAAATCAGGGTTGGGTCTCTAAAGTGACACGCTACCCAGATCTCTGTACAGAAACCCCTGTCAAAACCCAATCAAGCTTGAAATTCCCAAGACAGAAAGTCTGGCCCTCTGCTGATTTGTTTTTTGACAGCTCTTTAGTGATTGTGTGAATGTATATGAGTGTCTCAGCTTTATGGAAATTCATTCTACATGGCTTGAGTTCCCTCTTCAGCAGTTAAACTACACAGATTGTTTTGCTTGTATTGGTTAAATGCACAATACTAAGGAGCTGATTTCATTCATGTTTAGGCTGAGGGACATTCTACATAAGATGTCTGGATTTCGCCAGTTTCTCCTGCACTTCTGCATTCTAGGTACTGGAAATTTATGCTGTTCAAATTTTGATCAACATGTAAACTCTTACTTAATTGTACAGTTTTGTTGTTGTTGGTTTTACTTTTTTAATTTTCTCTTCGCACAATGGTCTTCTTGTAGGATATATTGTCTGCAGCTCCAGGGCTTGGCAAGTAAAGATGCCCAGCCATATCAAAGCATTGCGGGGTTCCTGCCTCGTCATCCCTTGCACTTTTAACTATTATCGGTATCCACCTGAGAGACCAGATCGTGTTGTTTGGTACCAGTATGTGAGCCGAGGATATCCACTAGTTTACGACAACTGGAACCCATCTGATGTGATTAATGCATATCGAGGGAGAACATATGTTTATACTTCAACATATGAAAAGACATGCAGTCTAAAGATCAACCCAGTGACCTGGAATGATGATGGTCAGAGGCTTTATCCCTGGGTTGATCCAGAGAATGTCGGGAAAAGCACCTACCGATTCTTTGATACAACTGTGACAATTGAAGTTGTGGGTAAGTCACTCGTTTGAACTTTGATTTCCAGTCGATTATGAAGCTGTTGTATATGTATTTCATTCTTCACATTTCCTTTGTAAAGGCAGGGCAGAGGCACCGGATATTAATATATTAGGAAGGCTGAAAGTTGGACAGTCTGTAACAGTGCAATGCAGCGTTTCTCACACCTGCTCTACAAATCCCCCAACTCTGAGTTTGAACATCCCACTGCGAAACCATCATCTACGCAAAACCCAGTACGAAGCGACAACCAAAACCACTCTGACCACCACTTTGTTCATAGAGAGAGACTATCAAATTGTGGAGTGCTCCGTCCGACACCCTGGTGGCGCCACTGCCAAAGCCTCGAGAACCTTAAGTGCAGAATGTATGTAAATGCGCTGCGAGAACAAAACCACTTTTCCTTTCACGGTGACCTTAAAATGTTAACGCTTATTTGTATCTCAGGCTCCATTTCGCCGTTGACTATCAGCTCTACATCAGATGAGTTTCTTGAGGGATATGCGAGCAAAGTGGCCTGCACTGCTACGTACACATGCTCTAAACATGTACCGACTATCACATGGAACTATGGTGGCATGCCGGCCTCCACTGGTACCAGGAACGTTCAGGGAGGACTGTGGAAGACTGTGTCCACGCTGACATTCACATCATCAGCCAGCAGCCATGGAGGATCTCTGACCTGCTATGCACGGTTCACTGGGGGTCAAACACAGCAAGTGAGCATCACCCTACGAGTAAAAAGTAAGTGCAAATACTTACTATATTGAATGACTAAACTGTGCTATTATTAGGGGGAGGCTATAAAAGC